CTGAGGAACAGAGAGGAAAATAATGCTGATCATTAAAGTCTAATTTTCTATTGATGTTAGAGTAAAAACAGTCATAAAATATCATTCATGAATCCTGAAAAGATTTTTGCTTTATAAACAAAGAAATAGAGAGTGATAGGCTACAGAAATCAGAAGTCTTGAAACAAGAACTGGGAAGCGTGAGGACAAACATTTCTCAGTTAGTAACAAATGGATGAGAAAAGAAATCTGTCAGGGCCAGTAAAACAGACGACACTTGTCCCAAGCCTGACCAAGTGGGCACCTTATCTCAAGCCTTAGAACAAGAAAAAATACACAGAAATGCCAAACAAAATTCTTTAGTTTCTTAAACCATCCTACTCTTTGACGATTAAGATCTCTACCATGGAGAGTTGAAACTTTTTCCACATTTTGGTGAACTTTTATAAAGACTGACATGAACAAAAAATACAATCGAGTGATAAATTTCAAATGTTCTTATACATGTGCATGCCCATATGAACTAGGTGAGAAAACTGTCCTTGAAATTGCAGGACAGTTAACACCACAAAATGATCCTTAGGATCTGGCTGTCGCATGAACCTCTCTGCCCTGGAACTCATTTGCTGAGGTCCCTGCCAAGGTTGTTAAGAAATTGAAATGCCTGTTTTATAAATTCAATAGTTTGTGTTATCTTTTCCTGGCTGTGTTTGTCAACTAGAGTTCAATACTTCCATTCATCCCAATTTATCATCTAGAATTTTGATCAGCAGCTGCAGAGCTCCGATAAGATCTCTGACAGACAGCCTGTTACTCTCCTGTTGATGAGGAGACTGGGTGATCAATGTTCCTTTATTCTTTCATTTAGAAATCTTTCTGTCTCCACAGATGCATACCCTTCCACAAGGACTGCTGAGGTTTTCCTGGTAATATATCTTTCCTTTCACACAAACACAGAACATTTGCTTCCATGGAGTACAGATTTCTGGGTCTTTTTCTTGTCCTCTTTATTTGACAGATGCTACAGAGAACCACTGACTTAAGCCAATAGACTGTAAAGACTGTGTACTTGTTTTAAAAAGCAACCTAGGATTTATTATTATTATTATTGTTATTATTATTTGGTCTTATGTTTTTTTCCTGCAATGCAAACTCTGACACTGGCCAGCAAGGACTCAAGGCAGGCTCAGGATGTGTCCAGAGTAACAGCTTTCCTATTAGGTATTTTTTCACTCTTTAATTAGACAGGTTTTATTTGCAAATTTTTAAATGATGTTTCTTCATAAGCCCTTTGAGCCATATGGAGGAAGTCATTAGTGGTAACTCAGTAATGAGGATGCTCCCTCTTTCCTGCTTTTTGCCAGAAGCCTTTTGTGTGACTTGACAAGACAGACTTCTCGCTGATCTTGCAGCATCAGGTAAACAAGCCAGGTGAAATGTCCAGTGTGCTCCTGAAGGTGCACTAGGTAAGGAGAAGTAGGCAGTGTGGCATACAAAAGACTCCGAGAGCCGCTGTCCTTTAGCCGGAGGCTACACAATGTTATGGAGCAAGATGCTCATTAAACAATACTGGGAAGAACCAGTTTTATGAAAATAAAAGAAACATATATTTTTTTCTCTCTTAAATAGGATAAATTTCAGCATGATGAATTTGGAATGCATTTGAAAATAATCTCCAAACAGAAACCTTGTATTTAAAATGCAAGTTCAAGCAGTTGTTTTGTAACTGGTTGAATATTCTCAAATTTGGAAAATAAAATACTTGTTATGTGTTTATCATGTACCACAAGAGATTAGTTTATTCCAATCCATATTTGCACATATATTTTCAGTATTCATAATATCTGTGATATTTTAAAATGTAATTTTATAGAATTTTTTTCTGTTTTCAAAAAACTTGTATAGGCTGTAACGTTTAACAAATTTGTGAAAGGATCCTCTCTAATCTAATATCAATTGAACATAAATTACTTTCTTTTGTTATATAATAGCACATCAGAATTTCTTTGTCTCACTTGAGAATATTTTAGAGACATCTACTGGAGAGGAACGTAATTGCAAATTCTATGTCAGAGGCTAAAGTGGTATGTTACTGCAGACTTTAATTTTTTTCTCTAATATGGAATTGCAAAATAAAATAAGTTTTCTCCTAGAAAGAAAATGAAAGATTTGTGAACATGACCAAAAGCTCTAACCAAGTGAAAACTAACTGCTTTGATATTTGAGCTAATGTTTGTTTCTTTGATTCTTTCTTTCCCAAAGTTCTAGTCACATGGCAACAACAACAACAACAACAAAAGGATTCTTTTTGATACCATACTATTTCAGCAGGTTAGCTATGACTAGGTCTCATGTGTTCTGATTATTTGTGCTCACGTACATGCATTGCAGACGAGCACATTGGAATAGGAGGCAGAAAGAAACACCCACAGGACTGATGAGCAGCATCATTGCTAACACCCAAAGGATGGGTTTCAGAAGGGAGAGGAAGAAGAGCTGGGACGAGGTGTATACTCTTAGGGAAGGGTAAAACAGTCCAGCTGCCAGCACAATTAGTGATATTTATCATGTTTTCTTTATAATACCATTTCTTTACTGCAAATTCAAATTCAAAAGAGATTATATTTACAGTATGAAATTACATTTTGTTTCTGGAGATGAAACTAATTTGAGAAGGGGAGGTTTATGAAATGTATGTGGTACTTTACACATTTTTCTATGAATAAATAATCCCATGATAATTTGAAGGACAAGTCCTGAAAAAATTTCTGTTGCACTTATACAATCAGGCGTCTACCAAACTCTAACAGTACCAGCAGAAGTTTAAAGAGTGGGTCAGCCAGACTGATCATTCTTGCTCCATTTGAGGCAGGCTGCCACATGATACTTCAAAGGCAACACTGTCAAACTATATTCTTACAGCGACAATTTAATGCGCTGTATATGAATGAAAGGCTGGTGGCACATTTATTAAGCGCCATGGTGGAGATACAGCTTGAGGGGTTATTAGGTCAGTATCAGAATGGGAAAATGTGGAGGAAAAAATAAACCAGGAGAGAGCTCATGGAGAATGGTTTGGGGTAGCATGAAGCAGTGGCTCTCGATGCTACCAGTAACAATTACACTTATAAAAAATTAAAGTACTTGGTATACTACAATATAAGTAATTGACAATGGCTGGGATTCTGTCTGAGCAACATGACATTCTTTTGGAATCAAATCTACATTAGAATTGACTATATGACAATTAGAAATAATTGGCAAACCTGTCATCCTAGCTTATTTTCACATATATTTCCGTAGGAAAGATGCCTCCCCATAACATCATAATCAGAAGACACTGGCCTTTTGTGTAGCTTTAATGAGGTGACTATGACAGGAGGTCATCACTGAAGCTTTTCTGAGACTTTTCTCCCCTGACATATACTGAAACAGCAAACTGCAAATTTAATATTAAAGATACCCATAGGTGGCTTCTAGGAAGAATTTGAGATAGCATAAACAATTGGTAATCTGCATAAGAACAGAATGGCAGTACATAACAAATATTCAAATTATCACTTAATTTTGTTTCTTGTTTATCTTTACCATCCTGGAGTTCTGTCGCTCTTTTTCCATCTACATGTATGCAGTCTGCCATAATGATTAAGAACCGATTAGCAAGCACAGAAGGCTGAATGTGGGGCATGCACGGCTCTCAGCAGTGGGGCCTGGGACATGCTTTGACATATTGCCTTGCTCCCTGCCACCTGCAGTCAGCCACTCTGTTCAATGGAGTGTGTAATGACAGCCTACATTTCTGAGAAGACACTGCAAGCCAATATTTTAATCCTTAAGAAATAATCATAGGATTAATATTCTCAAAATGTCTTTCATGAAAGAAGAATATCTTTCATAAAGACCTAAAACAGAATTCCAGATATTGTCAAGATTTTTAAACAACATAAAAAATGTGAGAAAGAACCAAATGCACTGTAACACTGTGAATATATTCACACATCTCATAAAAACAAATTCTTTGAAGGCAATACCATATTCGGATGTTCTTCAAATATTTTGCATCACCTTATTTCCAAATATTTTTAGTGTGGGTAATATTTTCTGTAAGAGGTAAAGCATTCATGTTACCATCTGAAAATGTGTTGAATTTTACGTTATCTGTGAAATTTAAAGCAGCCCCAGAGAAAAAAGCAGCGTGGAAGATTTGCCCACAGATCCTCACTGCATGGGCTGGCCAGCCATGGATGACATCCCTGACTAAACTGTACGATTCTTAGAGCTCCCTTATATGATTTTCTGTTTCTTAATGTGACTCATAATGGTTTCTCCACAGTTACATTAATTTTTAATCACAAACTCCTACACTGTTGCTTGAATTCCCCAGCACTGCTAATGGCCTTTCTTGTAATATTCATTCATTTTAAATATGAATGCAGATGCCACATCTTATTTTTTCAAAGAAAACCTGTTTAAAGCCAAAAGCAAAATAATAGTTGTATAGATGTTAGGCCATAGCAGGTGACTGTGTAATCAGCCTTCCACCAGAAAATTCTTAAAATCTCAGCTTAAAAAATAATGGCTCCTTTAAGGTGAAAAAATCCACCCTAATTATTTGTAGATGCATAACATATTCTCTAACATGAACTCTCATTCACAGCCCCCTCATATCACATAGCTGCACTGAAACAAACCAAAGGCCTGTGTAATTGTTTTATATGGGTTACTTCTAATCACATTTTTAAAGTATGAATTTATAATGAAACCTCATGAAGGCATGTCTTTGCAACCTTAGTTAAGTAATAAAGCAAGATCTTCTTACTCATTTCTTAAAACCAACATGAAGACTAAAATAACAATGAAAAGGCAGGTTACAAGATTGTGGGTGATTCCTACTAAGGAAGCTTTAAAACAACAAGACACCCATTGTCTGGCTTCCTACTAATTTTCCTTGGTTCACAATTGATCCATTCAATTACTTGTTTCTCAGAGTCCGTTATTATGATGTTAATACTGGCACACACCTCTGAGCTGACAGTTTGGCCCTATGTATCCAGGACAGCATCTCCATTCTAATGAGGTGACTATCTTATGTTGCATCCTATAGACAGCATTGGACATCTTCTGAGATCTGGAGAGAAGAACAACACAATTATGTGATTCACGTTAAGATAGACTCAGGTCTTATAAAGTACTTAGAATAATACCTGGAATGCAATAACCATTTAGTTTTGGTACTACTATAAAATCATAAACCTATCATCAGTATTATATTCAAAATAGCCAACAGGATTTCTTTGAATATACAACAAAAAAGCATGAGTGGTTTTATTTAATAAACTAGCATTTTAATTTAATAACTATCATTGCATTTTCTAAAGATATGAAAGTTTTTCTTTGCATAATATTTTCTAGCCATATCAACGAAGAACTTACTTTAATTCCATATTTAAAGAATGATATTAGAATATTTTATCTACTTCCTGTCCTAACACTTCCTAAATGACTATAGCTAAAAAGAGTTCCATTTCCAGTAAATAAATCAAGCCACGTGAAATAAGTTATATTGGTGAACAAATTGAAAATAGAATAACTTCTGTCATTTCAACCTTTATCTTTCAATTTTTCAAGATGCAAAGTTACAACACTTGAACTAAACAACTGAAATAATTCATGAATGGCACTCAGTTGTAGGCTCTTCATATATGTGGATCTAAGTTATAAGTATACTATACTATCATTAACCATGAGACTCCACTGAACAGATGATATTTACCAAACAGGTGTATGATACAGGTAGACATAATCCTACTTAATTATCATGTTACATCTATAATAATGATATTATTACTCTGATCTACTGATCTACATAAATAATAGAGAGATAAATAAAACTCATTTAAATGTCCATATGTAAAATTGATGGAACTGGAATTTTAACCTGGCTTATTTGAGCGGGGGCTATGCTCCAGAAATTTGTCACAGTCAACCCTTGTGACCTATTCAAGAGTTGTGCAGAAAAGAAGTGCATTACTTGATTTTCAGCTTCTGCCGTAACATGACAGATAGGTCAGTATGTCAGGGGTTGCTCCTTAATAGCAGAATAAGCTACAAGATTCTTTCCAGCCCTAAAAGTATGCAAAGTCATTCATCTACATCCATTTCAATGAATTATATTCAATAAGCAATTCTGTTGGAGGAAACACCATCTCTAGCACAACTAGTGAAGTAAGAAATGAAAATGGTTTTATTTAGTTTGTGGGATTGACTCCAGAATTTAGAACTTTATCGAATCATGGTTGAGTATCAATGTTCCTGATCTGGCAAATCAAATGTCTGTTGCACATGGTGTTGATAAGATAAAGAAAAAGCAGACAATTATTGTATAAATACTGAAACCATGGATGAATGAAAGGACCCACTCATGGGTACAAATGACAAGAAAGAAGAATAAGACTAAAACAGCTGGGTTTAGAAAAGAGTAAAGAGCAGAAGACGAGCTTACCTTGAACCTAGTATATGATTACTAGGGTTACTGTGGTAATGTTTTCATTACTGAAGAATTAACAATATGTTCTTTGTGCCTTCCTTTACAAGAAAATTGTCACATAGACTAATGGCTGAAAGCAGAACCACAGCTTTTTCTCAAATCCCTAAGATGTACTTAGTTCTCTGGACCATGAATCCTAGTCCTCAAGGGACTCTGAAACACGTGGATTTTATGTGTCCTTACTGTGCACTGTTCCACATTGCTGATGTATCAGCTTCATTTTCTGAGTTATTTGTATGATAATTTGGGTCATATTACTCTCCTGTCTTCCACAGCAATGCTAGTTTTTATGATAGGCACTTTATGAAATCTCTAGTCAAGCTACAGTCACCATATGGATTCAGATAATTTATCAAGCACTCAGCCTTACATTTTATGACAATGATATATGTGTGTGTGTATATATATATACTATTATACATTATATATAATGTATAATAATATAAAATATTCACATATGTAATGAACAACATAGTCACTAAGAGACAAAAGAAGAGCTGCTTCCCCAAATACAAAGCAGGTAATGGATTTTTATATTTTAAATATAAGCCAAGTTATATATGGACTTCTTTCTCAGCTAGAACAAAAAAAAATAGTAAATTTATTATTATTATTATTATTATTATTATTATTATTATTATTTATTACAATTTATTCAATTTGTATCCTGGCTGTGTCCCCCTCCCTCATCTCCCCATCCCACTGTCCCTCCCTCTTCTCCCCCATGTCCCTCCCCTAGTCCACCGGTAGGTGAAGTCCTTCTCTTTTTCCATCTGACCCTAGCCTATCAGGTCTCCTCAGGACTGTCTCCATTGTCTTCCTCTGCGGCCTGGCAAGGCTGCTCTACCATGTTTCTCTTCAGATCGTATAAATCTTTCACCTTTTACTAAACCTTTTAAATATCTATGTATATCATAAGGATCTTGGCCAAGAGTTTGTTGACTAGGTTACAAAAGTGGTATAAGTTACTATAGAACAAGAAGATTAACACTCCCTAAGCACATGATACCAGGCAGTAAGCTACGAACACAACCACATTAGTTCACATGATTTCCAAAGCAAATAAACAACACAAAAACACACTTTTACTTCCTAAAGGTCATGTGTCTAATATACTAAAAGGACCCTCCACCCAGCCATATATGGATTACTATCCATATATATTTCCAGTCATGCAAAGTGTTTATTTTCAGAAAATATTGCATACCTCTGGGAACAGAGTCCACCGGGCCAGCCACAGGATCCTCTTCCATTTGGTAAATAAGAGCTATGAGTGTCCAATATCGGTGTCGGGGATAATCTGGTATGTACGTGAGCACACCAGTTCCTGAGTGAGAAATCATTATTGGCAGAAAAAATACTCATTGTTAGTAATATTTTTGTAAAAATATTTTTTACACTTTAACATATTTTGGCCGATTATCATTTAGATACTTTGAAAAGTATTTATCAACTAATTTTTAATATCCATACAGAAAAGAAAATGAACATTTTTTTGCTTTACCCAAGGATATTTAAAGAAACACTATATGATGAAATTAATCAGAACTAAATTAGAGCCTGCATTTTGTTATTTTAAGACAAAAATCCAAGACTGCTCTTATGTTACTTAAGTGTTTGTACTGAGCACAAAGACTCAGATCTAGTTCTATTACTTTGAGTAGTATATGATAAGATATAAGCAAATAAATTGAATCATGTATAGAAAGACAGAAATAAATAATAAATCATGAATATATAAATATAAAACATGAGACTGTTATTATCATCTAATATGCTGTAAACACAAAATATTCTAGATAAAATTTTAAGAATCAAGCAATATAATTAAGTTCATCTTATTTTTACAATTTATAGTAAATTAATTTAATATTCCACTAAGTAGAAAACACACTTCTGTGTACCAACAGCAAATTTAAAATAATCCTATTTGAAGTAGCACATGGTAAGAAAAATGTGGTTCCCAATAAACCAACAAAAGCAGTCTGAGATTTAGCATAAAGGAAAATAAACTAGTCATAATAATTCATTAAGAAACCCAACATAAGCATATCACAATCATCTATAATGGCAGGCATTTAAAAAATAAAACATAAGCTTTCTGTGGGGTCTTAAACCAGATTATTCCATAAGCTAGCTGCATAGAGTTTTGTCTTAGACAAAGCAGAGTGTCGGGTAATATGCATGTATTTATGAAATATTTATTTCATGGTATGTGTGTATCTATAAAAACCATGTTTTTGTATGTTGTATAATGGACTATACAGTCCTGTGCTTCTTGTGACATGAACCCATTAGAGAGCCTGGCGCTTTGCTGAGAGCAGCTTTTAAATCACAGCATAATAGATTGTGTCCACAAAGGAAGAATACCTTCAGAATGATATAGAAATAAATTTTTTGATAAGAAATGGTTAAATATGTATGGAAGATTCATACAGTGGGGGCAAGGAAGCCATATAAAAGAGAGAGTCAACAGAAGGTGTTCCTAAGTCCAACAGTCGAGTCTGGATGCTAGAATAACAGTGTCTGTTTCTTAGCACAAAGACGAACAAGCAAAACCAATAACCTTAGAAAATAAATAGGGACTACACACAGCAAACTCCACTAAATAGAATAGTTAATGGATTCATAGATGCCAGGGTGGGATTAGAAAGTTATCAAACATGATGAATATTTAATTAGAACAGTAGCACAATGTGTGCATGCAGCCCTGAATAGAGTGTGCACCAGCACACGGGGCATTCTCAAAGGACATCCAATAAACTAAAAGCCATAAGGACATCTGATGCAGAGCAGGCTGTTCAAAGAACAGTAACGAAAATCTGAAGACTGTGAGAAGGAGAGAGATGAGGACAGAATTTGATAAAAAGAAAGATATTCTCTAAGTTTAGTTTTTTTCAAAGAAGGTCTAAGATGCTGATTTGAATTCCTAGAGGACAAATCCAAAGTAAAGCCTGACTTAGGTATGTCTCATGAAAATTCCAAAAGAGAATATGTAGAAAGAAAAAATATACTATTTATTTTATTCTTCATTCCAGCTATTATCCACATAAAGCTCCAATGAAAAGTTGAAAGAAATATAGAGAGGCTAATGTGTAAGTTTTCTTATGATACTTGAAGTTAAAAAACAAAACAACATACACATAGAGATGAAAAAAAAAAAAAAAAAAAAGGACCAGGAAAAGCATGGAGGAATGTATGGAGGATTTATTTGAAATTAAAAAGAGGACAGTAAAGAGATTTTAAAAACAATTAACTATACTTACAACAATTCAATGATGATCCAAAATCTTCAAATTAAAAAAGAAACAAAAAAAAAGCAATAAAAATTGTCATGCGAACGTTTGTCAAACGACTGTGGATAATAGAGAGGGTCACATCAAAACAATGCCACAATCTCTATATGCTTAGGGGTTTTGAAAGGAAACATGATTTCTCTTTCACTTGCAGAGAGCTTTTGAAACTCTAAACAGTGAGACAGCCACAAGACCAAAACAGTGAAGAACGAGAAACAGCCAAATTACTAGCTGTGTTTTGCTCAGCCAGCTCTGATCCAACGGAGAGCCACAGAACTTAACAGCAAAAGAGCGCCTCATGTAGCTCATAAATCAGGTTTATGCTCTTGTAGAAATAACTCATTACGTAAAGTTAAAAATGAAAATAAAATTTTAAACCACATTACTTGAAAATACAAGCTTAAAATATAAAACCAAGTGTGGCAAAATATGACAAACAGTTCGTTAGGTAAAGTAGAAGCCCTTTGGACCTTCTTTGACTGACTGCAGTGATGGAAAGTGCTGACTTTGAAGCTTTCAGCACTCTAAGGGGCCAGAGTCCTTCATCCAGGGACAGCACTTAAGTTCTCTCAGGGCAGTAACTCTGCTGCTAGCCAGCAACAAATACTGAGAAAGCCTATTGTGCTGATTCCATGCATTTTCCAAGTGAGCAGCTAAAAGATTTTCTCTAGGAAAAAGATGACACCTTTGGTCATAAGCAATAGCTTTGCTTGCTGAATCCAGGAAAATGGAGTGGGACAGGAATTCTATTGGAACTTAAAAACTAACCCTCTTGTGCATACAAAAATGCTGTCTAAATAGCCTATTAGGTATTCTATTTTATATTTTGGAAACCAAGTCATTCAAGGAGCTAACAAGACTAAGCTGAGAAAAACTTACACTGTATACTGAAATCATGCCTCAACCAGAATGTAAAGATCAACGAGGGTAACACTTTCCTGACCATGACCAATAGAAATACATCTGTAAAAAATAAGGACTAAAGTCTCAGAAGCACCACTGTTCAAATGTGCAAGCCCATGGAATTCAGATGCATGTTATGCATTCTTGTGGCTGGAATTGACCGTGGAATAGGAAAACACTTGACCCTGAAGATGGCCTCTTGTAGTCTCTTGTGAACCAGAGATCCCTACCCTAAACAAAGCCAATGCTTTCCCTGAAGCTGGGACTTGGGAATGAGGGACTTGATTGATTGAATAACCTTTCCTTCCTGGCATTTGGATATGTGTCTTATAGCTATGACAGGGAGGCTACATCCATGAAATCTCAGCAATATGGCTGTATAAAAAAGACCCAAATAATGTCAAGACTGGTTGACATGCTAACACGAATGGAGGGAATTCCATAGAGATGAAGAGGTACAGGCAATTAACAACTGCTGAGAGAGGAGAAATTAGTCTTCCACAGAGAGGAGGTTTTAATTGGTTTTTAAAATACCAATTGATCATCCCTAAATACTTATACATACAAGCAATACTAAATGAACTTAGCAGGTTGTGTGTGTGTGTGTGTGTGTGTGTGTGTGTGTGTGTGTGTGTTACTACACATGTAACAACAGTGATTAAAGAAAGAGGCCATCCTCCCTAGCAGTGGGCAAAGAGACACGTTGGTGGTGGTGGTGGTCTTATCAGTCAGGAGCAGAGCAGATGGCAGTCTTTAGTTCATCCTTTGATTCCTGGCTTGGCAGCCAAACCTGTTTTATGACTAGGACCCATAAAAAAAAATCAAATCAAGTCATATCAAATTCGGGCAGTTCAGAAGGAGCAAGACAGACAGAGATCTGCGGACCACCATGCCGTTCACAGTCCTGCTCTCCAGCACACGGCACAGGTGGATCACAGATGCCTGCTTCCTGCCACACCATGCAGTATGGATTGAGGATGCCATGCAGTGGCATGGCCAGCCTGAAGAGGGCGCCACCACAGTGTGCAAGTATGTGGTAGTCAGATGAGAGAGAACAAGAAGTGGAGCAGCTTGGGCATTATGAAGAGAGATGGAACCGGAGACTCGGAGTGGAGAGAAGTAGACAGCGGTGAGTGGATGGCCCTGCCCCGGGGGCCATGGTGCTGCTGGGGACCAAGTCTAGGTCCATGGCTACGCAGCGGAAGAGGTTGGTGTTGATGTCTTTGGCTCATATTACCACTGGAAACATCCCTGGTTGGGGAAGTTACCTGGGACCATTGGATGTCCAGGGACTGTGCAGGCATGACCAGGGATGGCCTTGCCGCTCACTGACTAAGGCTCTCTGGGGCAGCACAGCAGAGCTGGCACTGGTGGCAAGGGTGTGGATGAATAGGCCGGAGGGTGTGAGTGTGGGAAAGCTGACTCTTGTCACGAGGTAGCCTGGGTGCAGGGGTCTCCCCGTCCCAGTCCCTCACCACCTGCAGCAGTTGGAAGAGTTGGCCCTGGGGTCACAAGAGCCGATGAGCTGGCCCTATTGTTCCTCAGCTGCAGCATTTGGGAGAGCGGGCCCTGCACTTCCCCTGGAAGCTCAGTAGAGCTGGCTCCGGTGGACGGGGTACTGGTGAGCTGGCCTGAGGGCAAGAGCTGTGCCTGCCTTTGCCTCTTGCTACCTTTAGCATTGGGAGAGTGGGCTCTGAGCCTTGCCTAGGCAACACAGTGGAGTTGGTACTGATCGTGAAGGCACAGGTGAGCCAGCCCCAGGGAGCTGGAATGCTGTCCCAGCACCTAGCAGTCTGCAGCACTTGGGAGAGTGGGTTCCGTGCCTCCAGTCTAGCCAGAGCAGTGCTGGAGGACTGGTCCTGGTCGTTCAGATAAGGGAGAGCCAAGGGCGGACAAGCTCAGCTACCAGGCTACCACCCAGGTCCAGGTCCAAGGCTCTGAGTTGGCTCACACCAAATCCATATGAAAGCCCAGTCCTGCTGATCCAAAGCTGCAGGGATCTCTATGACACAAGGCAACAACAGGATAGCTGAGAGGAGTCCCAGAGAAGATGCGATGTTGATGGTGTCACAGAAGCCAGAAACCTCAAACCAGACCATGAAATCATTGCAATGAACATTTGAAAGGG